AAATCTCTAAAAGTTTTAGAGACAGTCAAATTGGACAACATCATGTTTTATGGCAATACACATGTTCCTCAAAGGCCTGTGCTTCCCTGTGAAACTGCTCTAAAATAAAATAAAATTCTGCCAAGAATCAATCTCAGAAGGAGAGTTGTGCTTGAACCTAACACAACTTCATTCATATTCTGCAATAACTATGATGATGACTCTGACCATTTGTTTGCCAGACACAGGATAATCACCAAGCTTTGGTATGTTGTTTTAAACTGGTGAGGTGTTGATTTTGTTCTCTATAATACTTGCAAGGAAACCTTCTTTCAGCATGTAGAGGCAGGTTATGACAGAAGCTTATTTGGATGTCAATTTGGTTTGCTGTTATTTAAATCATCTGTGGAGGTGGCAAGTATGCTTGACAAGGTGCAGCTCACAACTTTTGTTTTCGGATTAAAGAGTAATGGTGTTGGTTTCTTGCATTATGATTGGCTTCAACATAAGGACTTGCAAGGTCAATAGTTGGCCTTTGAACGAATTTCTGGCTCTTGGTGCTGTAAACTGCACAGGTAACTTGCTTCAACTGGTCTAATTGGTTGCTTTAATCTATGTGTGATAAGGTTTTTGCTTCATAAGGTGCTTAAGTATATGGATAGTTGGAAGGGTTGGAGTACCCCTTGTACTCCTCTATAATAGAAGTGATTTTTTGTCCTTAAAAAAAATAAAAAAATAAAAAATAAGAAAAAGACACCACAGTGTTCAAGGAAGTCTACAACTTGCAAGATGGTAGATATGTTTCTTAGACAAGGCAAGACTGGGTAAACATTTAGATATGTACACACTTCCCATTTTCAAAATTATATTCCACACCTAGTCTACCTTATATTCAAGATCAACATCTTTTTCAGTGTACATGGACATATATATGCAGAGAGGAGAGACATGGAAGAAGTGTCATCACCTTTACAAAGAGAGTACTAGGAGCTAGTATTGAATGAGCATCCACACCATTGAGATAGGCTTTGACCTCAGGAATACCAGAACCAGCTGCTGCTGGAGCAATGAAAGCACAAAGAGCTGCTGCTGCTGCTGCAAGAACCACGTTGCAACCAGCATATGCTGCAAAAGCCTTGAAGTATCTGCAATGAAAAATTTAATGTTACAGTCATCAAATAAAATGATCAACCAAGTTGAATTAAAGATAATTTATGCATTGTTGTTGGTTAATAATGATAATTAACAACTAATAAGGACAAATATAGAAAAAAAAAGAAAAAAAAAAGAGAGACAACTATAGCAGCTAATACTTCAATTAAAGATCCCATATGCATTAGGCTTTTTTATAAAGACAACCTAACCATATCTGCGTTTGTAAGGAACTGCAGTGGACTAGGAAACCTCATAAGAAATTAAAGGGATATACCTAATTGTTCATCTGCTCTACGGTAGCATCAGTACTGCTTGCAGCTACTATTGCAACCACAACCATCACAACTACAAAATATCTATTCAGTCAAATCCACAAGAAAAAGCTATTCATTTGAAAGTATTTCCCTTGATTACATCATTTATATCTATATGCTAGTATCAGATTATGTCGTTCATGTTCATTGGCATAAAGTTTTTACCAACAGATACTAACTGCAAAATAGTATGCATCGAGGTAGCCAGTCAGGGGAGGAAAAAGACTGTCAAACCATGATAAAATAAATTAATTTAGAAAATTGAAAGTAGCCTCACTTGTGCTTCAACATCAGATCAGTAGTCAGCAGCAACTTGAAACCAGCAATGTTTTCAACTGCAATATTGTTGAAGAACCCAACCAGTCCAGTGCCTAGCCCAATAAGAAGTGCAAATGCCCACTTGAGCAGAATATACTGATATATTTGAAGCTTCTTCCTTGACCTCCAGTCCTGCTTAAATAATTCATTTTCCACAATCCTGTAATACAAATAATATATGATAAACATACTAGACAATTACACAGCCATCTTGTTATCCCCGACCTAGCACTTGGCCATCTTGTTATCATCCTGGAGGGTGTATTTTCACTCTAAACATTTATGGAAAATTACACATTTATGTTTAAAGTGAAGCAAGTTATCTAACAGCCAAAACACCTTAGCAAATGAGATTTGAGTTGCCTGCAGCATATGCAATATTATTGCATGGCATTACTTGAAATCCCACATTACTTAAAGTTAAAGGCCTTCTAATCTACAAGGATGGAAAATCACAATTTAATGAATGCATAGACGAACAATGTATTTATGGAGAAGACGACAGCAAGCATACTCATAATCCAGGCTCTCAATGGGGCAAGTATTGGCACCAATAATAGCTATCTGTGAAGTGGTGTTTGTCCTCTTCACTAGAAGTGGCCGGCAGAGAGAATCATTCTCCTTTAGATACACAACTGAATCACTTTCAATATCATGTGCTTCATCCCCATGGCTCTCGTTATTCTCTTGTTCCATTGAGTTTTACAATTCCGCACAACTCTTAATTGAAACTTCAAAAATCTTGATCTCCTCCCTGCACATAATCGGAATCGTAATTACAGCCTTCAGGAAACTTAATCACAGATCCAAAAAAAAAAAAAAATCAATTACACAAAAGTAAGTCAACGCTAGTAATCATCATAACCAAGGCAATCAATTAAGGAGAAGAGGGACAACGGATCTAAACTCTAAAGTTGAAGCAGTTTGGGCAAAGTTACAATGAATATAAAATCAATGAGATGATTAACACAGAGCACAAGACGAAGTGCTAATAAGTAACATACTTGCTGCTGACGGCGGACGGAATCTTCAGTAGGTTGGCGCTGAAGAGCGGCGAGTGGTGAACTCCGTGCGGCTGCTGCCGCCTCCGTGGGAGGAGGAAGAAGGAAAGAAAGGTAGCGTGAGTAAGTGCAATTCATGAAGCGGCGAATAGTATTAAAAAAATTCATCTGTTATACTTACACAAACGAGAAGAGAAGATGTGCTTCAAAAATCAAAATCAAAAGAATTGGTGCAAATCCACAGACAAAAGGAAAAGCAATGAATGGAATCAAGAATCGTTAATCATATTAATATAGATGCATATGAAAAGGAAGATTCAATTCTTCCTCTCAGAACAGAAAACTTCCAATTTTCTTTGCATGTGAGTCCCTACTTAAAAGATAGGGATAAGGAATTATACAATTCCAAAGCTCAACAATTAAATTAAGTACGAGGTTTATTTTATAATTCTAACAAATTTTTATTTTTGTTTTACTTTTAGT